TTTGCTGCAGTTTAACCCGGGCACAGAGGCCGGGCTCCATCTTACTGATCTCTGCTTGACACCCAATTACCACATGAATGGGAGAGAAAGGCTGCAAAAGGCTTTAACTCCCACTGACCCTCCCTCCCCTCTCACTGTTCCCCCCCCCCTCCGCCCCAAGCCCCCTCTCCTTTCTCTGATGCAGAGGGAGTTCAAAACTGAGACTGGGAAATCAAACAAAGGCCAGAGTAAGGAAACCCATTGTCACTGCTGCAGAGATGGCTCCAGTTTTCTCATCTATTGTTCGCCTTGAAGTTTGACTTGCTGTGTGGAGGGATGCAAACAGCTGTTTATGGATTCCCCTGATGCTTTGTGGAAAAATAATTGAATCCTCACTACAAGGCTCCCTGTTAAAATGCTTCCTTGTAGCACTGGGCCTCATTGTAAATCCCTTATTTATAAACTTCATTTCCCTGTAAAATGCCACAACAAACCCAAACCGTTTCTTCTTGAATACACTGTCTTCAGGGGGAGGAGGCCTTTCCCTTCCATGCTCCAGAGGAGAGAGAGAAACAAACAAGAAAAGAGGTCAGAGGAAAGAATCGAAACCCTTTTTATTATGTGGTTAAATTTTCCAGCGGAGAACAAATTTGTGATCTTATCTTTTGTTTGGTGCTGTTGAATCTGTGGGTGGGGAACTGAGATGAGCATCAGTGAGATTGTAGCAAGGCAAGTCTGGACTGTTTCCTGTTACAAGCAGAAGCACATCAGTTTGGGGTATCCACTCCTACAATACCACTTACATGGCTATGAATGCTAATGGGACTCTTGTGGGCCAGATGCGGCTGTCAGTTACCCCTGTGCAATCCCAGTTAAATCAATGGAAGATGCACCTTCGTAATAGAACAGAAGATTTTGCCGGTAGATTTTTGAGCAAACCTGAGCTTTGATTAAACAATTCATGGTATGGCAAATACACATTCCTCAGCTTGAATCATAACCCAGTGGATTGTGTTCTTCTGAGTTTGTATGTAAATTTCTCAAGCCAGGGGACCTCATCCTATTCACAAGTTCATGAGGATCATGTATGTTTACAGCACTCTATAAATAATCAGATCAATATCAATTTTATTAAGAGAGGTAATTTTCTCCTAAGAGAATTTTGAGACACAGACAGCTCTGATTTCAGCAGTGTGGTCTAAGATGAGGATTTGCTATGTCCCAAAACACACAATGACCATGAAAATGAATCTATAGTGTCTGAAGTATTCAGTGACTGTTGTACCAGGGCAGTTTCTAGGACTGTGCAGCTAGATACTTGAACAAGTCTAAATAATGCTGTAGTTATGTTTTTACTGATTTTTTTATTTTTGGCTGTGAAGAGATATGATTCTGTCCTTCTTGTGAGATTCCTACAATCCAGGAACTGAAATGCCATTAGAAAACCAGATCTCCTATTAGTTTGGCCTCATATATGACTTCTGGAAACAAAAAAGAATAGCCAACGAAAGACAAACACAACTACAAATAAACAAATACTGGGAATAGAAACTCCAGACCCTGCACATATCCCTGATACTTTCTATAGTACAGTGCGGTACGACATAGTTTAAGGCTGCAGCACCTCTACTCAGCAACACTGGCTACTGCAAACACACCTGACCTGTCCTCTGCTCCCTATGCTGGCTTTGCATAGCATATTGACTCAAGTTTAACATCTCGATCCTTATCTTCAAGGCACTCAAAGCCTGGGCCCAGGGTATCTAAAAGTTCAACTAACACTCTGGGATAAATACCCTTGTCGACAGTTACACTCCTCTGGCACAATGGAATTCTCTACCATAAGGTGAAGCTTGTCTGTGCAGGAGACAGAACTTTTGGGGCGGGGGGCTGGTCCAGACTGTGGAATGGACTCTCCCAGGAACTAAGGACCATCATCATAAACCTCACCACCTTCTGCTCCAAGTGCAAGGCACATTTCTTTGACCTTGCCTTCTGTAACATAAACACAGAGCTGTGTGTGGGTGAGAGAGAACAAACACAACAGATGTTAGTCAAGTTCCTTAAGGCATCACTAGAAGGCGCTCAGATATTATGGTGATGAGTGAGCTATTAAAAACCTATACAGAATAGAAGGCTGATTCGTGAAGACCGAGGCAAAATCATACCTTCTTTTGGAGCATCTGGCCACTGTTGGTGACAGGAAACTGAACTAGTCTGATCCACTCTGGTCTTTCCTATTTTCCTGTTAAAAATTAGCATATAACTAGATAGATGGATGGTAGGTGATGGTCAATCTGAGTTCACCACTGGAAAATATCTGACACGGTTCTTTTCCATTGTGTTACTAAGAAGCAGAGAGTTGTTGAAGAGATATTACAAGGGGTTGTTTGGATCTCAGGTTTTGTCCTGGCCCATCTCCATTCAGAAAAATTCCTAAGCACTCTGCAAACTATCCAGGTTTTGTACTGAACATTGGTTTAGCTAGGAGCTTTGCTGCAGAAGGATTATGTGTGCTCAAGGCTGACAGTAGTGGCATTTGTTGGCTGACTTCTAAAATGAAATGAGAGCAGAGGATATAGCCAAGAGCATAAGCCCTGAAAGGCGAACAAGGCCCACTTACTGTAGAAGGAGACAGGAAGCCAGTGAAAAGATCTGGGGAAAGGGGCGGGATGACCTGGTTGCAGCAGCAGGAGGGAGGATTTTAGCAGAGGCATTTTGGATCATGGCATCTTGGAAGCTTTAAACTTTCATCTGCCAATCAAATGCCTTTTCCCACTTAAGTATCTTGGGGTTTGGTTGTGAACTGTGCTTATTCTCTGATCCTGGATGCTCTTTGTTTACTGTTCTCCATGCCAACACGTTCTCTGTCACTTCCATCCAAGGAGCAGTGCTTGTGCCAGCCAAAATATTGCTATGGTGTTTCTCCTTTCGTGGCTGCATCTACACTAGGTATGTGAATATTAATGGAAGTGTAATTAAAATAGGTTCCCCACTGCTGTCTCCTTCCTGATTACCCCACCGGTCAGGAACCATGCCCTACTCGTCACAATCGCAGCACCGTGCCCTGAGCCTTTTCCATCTCAAGCTGTGGGGAGGGATAGCTCAGTGGTTTGAGCATTGGCCTGCTATAAACCCAGGGTTGTGAGTTCAATCCTTGAGGGGGCCACTTAGGGATCTGGGGCAAAATCAGTACTTGGTCCTGCTAGTGAAGGCAGGGGGCTGGACTCAATGATCTTTCAAGGTCCATTCCAGCTCTAGGAGATGGGATATCTCTATTAATTAATTTTATTAAGCCAAGTCCTGGCACCAATCTACACCTCTTTTCCTTTTGGAATCTCCCCTCACATGACAAAGCTTTAGTCTGGTTCCTGCATCTACATAGTTATAACAATCAGGGTGTATTTGAGCCAACTGCACGTAGCTTAACCCTAGATTTTCAGTTCAGCCCTCAACACGACAAATCTTTAGGATACTTAGTCATAACTTGACTCCCGCAGCACAAGACTCCAGGAGTGGCCTTTCATGGTCTAATTCACAATATGGGGGGCCGCTTCTTGGGTGGACCCCTCAGACCATATAGATGTTGCATTTTCACAGATTGAATAATGGTGATCACATTCCTTGTATTTGCATGCTTGACATCAGGTGAATGTTTTGGTTTATACAACTTTTAAAGCAATGAGGACATAAAAAGTGCTCAATCAGAGGCTTCTTCAGTTTGGAAGGCAGGTGGGACATTGAGCTAGTGAATGGGGACAATGCTATTTTTGCAATAAAATATTTTAAACAGGAGGAAAAAAACCTCCCAAGAGACTGTCAGAACAGGTCAGAGCCAGGTTATTATTATGATTATTTGCATTAGAGTAGCACCTAGAGGCCCCCATCAGGGAGAAGGGCCCAGTTGAACTAGGCTCTGTACCCTACACTGGCAGACAGCTTTTGAATGCCATGGGACTGCATATTGTCACCCCTGGTGCTCTGCCTTCAGGTGCTGGGGGCCCACACCGTCATCACAGGGGCTCTGCCTTTGGGAGCCCTGTGCCCTCAGCTCCCCGAGGGGCTCTGCCGCTAGGTACCAGGGGGCCAGGTGCCCTC